TCCGGGCATCTCGGAGATCTTTCCTTTTTCGATTTCTTTTCGATTTTATACCCAGTAGAACCATCGGAAAACCCCATTTACTGTCAACTTTCCGCAAACTCCCGGCCACCTACGCAACCGCCTCCTGCGACCACCGGCCCACCTCCGCCCACCTCACACCGATCTCGTCGCCACCTACCTGTCCACCGCGGTATTTTTGATTACGCTCCCCTACCGCGCCCCTGTCCGCCCCAAACCTCCTGTGCTCACCACCAAACGCGTTCACGTGACGTGTTTGCCTGGCGCCGTGTGCCGACATCCCCCGGCCGGATCAGCGCGTGCGCTATCATCTCTTGTCTTCTCCGTCGACGACTCGCGCTCAGTGCGTGCATCCCACCCCACCCGACCTCAATCCACCGCCCCACGTCAGCTGGTCATCATTCCCTTGCTCAACCATCATTCTGTTGCTCAGCCAACCCATCTCGTCGGCAATCCACGGCCTATCCTTGTCTCTCCCCCCTACGCTTCTCTACTCGCCGCCGCTGCTGCCCACTCCTTCACCTACCTCTGTATGCCCCTCCGGGGGTCCATCCCTGGCCGCGCATCGCTTCTCACGTCATCCTCCCGACCCACAGCGGCAAACAAGCTCCGTTGTCACTATTTGACTTGCCGTTTTCCTCCTCTGCCCCGCCGTATTCGCCCGTTGCTCCGCGTCCCCTTTCCTGACACGCCTCTATGCAGCCCTCGGGATTCATCGGGTCAGAACGCGTGCCGTCTTCCCTCGTTCTCTCCTCCTTGCCTCTTCCTCTTAATCCCCGTGAGAACACGTCCGTGTATACCGATGCGCCGGCAACAACGTGTATCCTCGCACATCCTCGCCTTCCCTCTCCCTCTTTGTAATGCTTCCAACGGCACTCACGCCCGATGATGGTGTTCCATTTGGAACGGCCCCGTCGCCTTGACTGCCCGCGGCGCGTGTACATCTCACTCGCCCACCTGCTCCACCCCATAGGTCACCCCTCCTCTCGTCTCGGACGCCCTTCTTCTCCGTACCATCTCCGCACGTGGCCATCCGTTTCATCACCCTCATAGACGTCCGCCATTTTTCGTATGTGGCTGTCCATCGTACATGAAGTTTATCGACGCCCCATTCAGATGGCAAGCAGATAAACCTGTGTGTCGGTATTTAAGCCCATTGTTAAGCCCATTGTTGTGCCATTTGTATGTAAAATCTCGTTGCCTCAGTGCGCACACACCGTCTCATTCACTCTACGTTTAGTAACATCCCCACCTGTTGTTACGCCGTGCAGCATTCCAACGGCTGACCGACTTGGCGCTTGCTTCGGTTCCAATCAATGGTGAGATAAAATAGTTGTCTCAGCGCACGGTGTCCCAATTAATCTATAGCTGTATTCCAAGGATCTGGCCCGAGCATCACTTTCCCCCCCCCCCTGTCGAAGGCGTCGTCACACCCAAAGTATTGCTGAAGGTCCGCCATTTACCACAAGTCAGTCAAATTTTCAACCGGTCCGGTGTAGAAGTAAGGTTGTATCCTGAGGTGGACAGAGGAGGTGCTGGTCGTGCTGGGTAAATGAATGCAAGCGTGCTGTAGGAAGCCGATAGCCAGCGGGGATGAATCTGGACTAAGAGTAGAATAGAATATGAGCTCAGGATATCAAAAACTCAGCTCAGAGGAATCGTAAGGGCTCAGAATCTCGCAGGGAAAGCCTTAGATAATAGATGGTGGTGGTGGGAAGCAAGAGGCGAACCCTGTACATGACAGCGGTAATGAGTGTAAATACGATCGGTCCAAAAATAGGTAAAGAGTCCATGGTATATATGTGCCTCTGCTAGAGCGAAGCCCTCGCCGTCGAACCAACCAGGAGCTACGCAAAGACGAAATAAGGAGAGCACGTTGCGCTGCTCAACGGTGACTCGTGGGTGCCCAGACCACAGTCGGCTCAATCCCCGGCGTAGTCTGAGAAGGCCGAAAACTCGAGTCTTCACTCGTTGCGTTGGCGTACGTAGGTGAAACAAAGAAATGTCTGTAAAGAGTCAATAGGTAAGTAAATAAATGAGTGTGAGCATGAAAATGTGGAGTGAGAAACATATCAATCAAGAACCAATATTTATTGTCGTGGTTGGAAACTCGATGCAGAAGCGATGGAAGGAATATGAAGGTGCGTATGTAGCGCTCGAGGAAATCGGGGATGTTGGAGAAGCTGATATGTGATACTCGCTTCGATGTGGTGGTTGAGACGGACAGTGCGTACGGAATAAAACTCAACGCGGTCAGGTGATCAAGATTGCTGGAGTCACAGAATGTCCGGAGGGACCTATGGCGACGTGGGAGCCATATGGCACTTCCACACCGGCATCTCTGTCGCTCATATTCCTTCCTGTGAATCTCGCAGCTCTCTTGATTCTATACTTGGTGATGTCCGCACACTGGGACCAATTCGTTTATATCTGCGTCCTCTGTCTCCCGCTATGAATCCTAAAGAAAAGAATCGACGGCTCGCGCGAAACGCTTTCCAAGATCCTCATGCGCACGTCTGTAATGCCGTGGCTTCACCGTTCTCATTGAGGTATTCTCTCTCGGACAGTTTTCGTGTCTGTTTTCGTTCGAGATTTAACTCCGGCAGCTCTTTGGCGGTTCGATGGGTATCGGCGCGCGGCAGTTGAGTGTCTTATCATCGCGGCATGGGGACAACATTTCGCTTTCTGCGCGAGCACTATGGGTCATGTACTCATCCCACATTCCATATACTGATGATGTAAAGCAAATTCACGTTCTCATAGTTTAAAACGGATGGGTGCGCGCAAATGAGTTATGTTTGATCTACTCATGCCTCCCCGCGGCGCACACACCAAATTCATATGCGCGGCACATTCTCCCGCATCGCCGTCTTCCTCGTACCCTATCTCTGCCCGATGCTACCGTCCTCACACGGCTTCACCCCCTGGACGAATCTTGTGACCGGGACAATAAAATGTAGGTGTATATCGGTAAGATCTCTGCTGTCCCCATTTCCCTTCTTACGTCTGTCCGGCCCTTATGATTGAACGTTGTTATTGGGCACGTTTCGCACAGATACAACTTCATCTGACTTGCCGATCCGTACTGCGCGCGCAGCGTGAAAACTGGTACCATCCCTATTTGCTCCTCGAAATCCAGCCTGATTAAGCTAGCTTTGGACGTTGCTTGTATTCACGAAGTACACAGCATCCACGTTGCCGCGTTTATAGACATTCCAGCATAACAAAGGTATCCAATAGCAAAGTGGATCTAATCCTTTTCTCGTCGCGATTGATTCACTTTGACCGCAGATGGCCTGGGGATCTCAAAGAGCTGAACCGCTTTCCCGGGAAATCCCTGGGAGTCTTCGGCTACGTATGGTTCAACCAATGTCCCGGGCACGATTTTCGACCTTTCGTTTATCAACTACAGTTCAGACTTGGGTCCGTTATGGTATGTCCCGCGAATGTAAACACGCTGTCTCACTGATTTTTCTTGCTGCACCTGTACATTATTTGTTCTCTCGGGTAACCTACCTCGACTGATAAACAATACAGAGTTGCACATTGAGAATAAATGCAGAACACAATGTCAGGCCTGAGTACGGCAAGGACGCATGAAGGGGCAGAGTCCAACTCTGCAATACTAATAATACAAGCGGCTGACGCTGGCCGTCATACTAACACACTTTCCGCCACAACGTGGCATCCAAATGCGGGAATTTGATGGCGGCCACGGCGGCAAATGAGACTTTGCCGAAAATGTGCCGGTTGGCTGTGCTGACCCAAATTGGGGCGGAACCAGTTTCCGCTCGACGAAAAGTCTCTCAAAAGAGAGAGAAACGGTGAAATATATCTATGTTGATGTATATCTACAAGCACAGGTAGAAAGCTACTGGGCGAAGACAGGCAGCTACGCGTTCCAGCTTCTCTACAATGACCGAGATCACCTTGGGCTTTGGTACCATATCGTCCATGGGGGTGCCGGGTTCAGATGGAAGAGGGCCTCCAGAGGAAGTGATGCTAGGCGGGGGACCTCTGGGGTATGCGGTGCAGCTTCATGTCCCTCGTTGAACAGGCGTTCGACTGCGGAGATGTGTTTGCAGTACGAGATCAGCGGGTAGTCGAGACAATCGCAGGTGTAGGTTTCTATGTCAACCTCGTACACTTTTGAAGGGTCCGACTGCGATTTGACCAAGTATCATCCGTCCCCGAGGGCCTCGATATCTTCGTGAGTATAAGTGAAAATGCTCTGTCTTTGTTCTCCGGCGTCGGAATGAGCACCCCTCCGAAGTGGAAAATTTGTGTTGGAGTTTTTCTCGGCGCAAAAGGAAAGGCATAGAATTTTTTGTTCCATGGCCCAGGCTCGATTCGAATGACCACTTCCGCAGGATCTGCGTTCTAGGAGTGGAGCATAATTGGACGCGGGTGCGGAACCATCCGCTACTGGGCCTTGTCTTGCTCATCCGCACCGTCATTATAGTTATCCGAGAGAGCAGTTGAATTTCTAGCTGCGGGGTACCTTTCCGTGGTCGGAAGGCATTAATGAGCACCCCTCCTAGAAAATTTGTGTTGCAGCTTTCCTCGGCGCCAAAGCAAAAGATACCATGACCCGGGCTCGAGTTGAACCCTTCAATATTAAGCGGGCCAGGAAATCGCGCTATCACAAAGGCGGTCCAGAATAGCCATGGCTCTTCGAACGAGCATGCCCTGCAGAAATTTTCCCGTCTCACCTAATTAAATGCAGGCGCTGACCATCCGCTACTGGGTCCTTTCTTGCTCACCTCCACCAGCAGGTGAATTTCCTCGCTGCAGGGTACACATTTTCTTTATTTCCTCTCCGTAGTCGGAATGAGCGGCGAGCGCCACCTTCAGACATTCGAGTGGTTACGAATTGAATCAATGAACGCAGGCGAGGACGATCCGTTGCTCGGCCTGTCTTGATCGCCTCAGAATTCACGCCGGCCTCCCTACGGACGAAAAAACAATGACCGCACGACACATGGCCCAGGCTCGATTTGAACGAGCATGACCTGTATAATTTTCACGACTAAGTATCTGTCATCAATCAAACGCAGGCGCAGACCATCTGCTACCAGGCCTTTTCCTATCGACCGGTAATGTTGTTTGGAGGGCATCTCAACTGACTGCTTAGCAAAAGAGACTATCCCCACTTACGGCCCAAGCTAGATTCGACGCACTTCCGCAGAATCTTGTTTCCTGGTTCTTGTTTCTTGCAGTGGTGCATTGGATGCGGGTGCGGAACCATCCGGTACCGAGCCTTTTCTTAGAGAGCCGGTGGATCCTCGTTGCGCATGACAAAAAAAAATGGAAGGAGGCAAAGCATGGCCGGGACACGAGTTGAACGGGCATTTGCTGCAGAGAATCGAAGGGAGAAACTGCACATGCGAACCATTCCGTTACAACTCAAGAGCAATCGTTTCCGCTCAACCGGACCGAAGATGTTCTCGGGGCATCCCAAGAGAGAGAGCACTGCTGATTTACTGTAATCGAACAACTGCTGCTTATCGTCATGTTCAATCAAGCCCCTATCCTAATCCGGCCGTGGCTATGCCGAGACCTCGTCACCCTCTTCCTCGACATCCGTCCTTCTCCAGCTGCGCTTTGTGCGTTCCTGGATATACTTGGAGTCCAAGTGAACAATTCTCGTCTATGTCCGTCACCTCCGCGTCTATTCTTGGGCCCAGGCTCCGAGCCTGGCTCGATTTGGGCGACTTTTTCCACCCGTCGGTAGACGGCATGACGTGGGGCTGTCTGCTTCACCTCCTCTTTTAGACTTGCGACTACACGACTTGGACCCGACTCGTTGGTATTCACCCGTCAACGCACGGATCGGAAGCAGTTTTTCGTCGTCTGAAGCAGTCTCCATACCTTTGGCTGAATATCGGCGTCTCGACTCCAGAGTCGTGAAGAAACAAGGTAAGGAGGTCCAGGAGATCGCCGACGGCTGGCAGGTCGTACGATCTCGTCTTGGCAGCCCGCTCTCACACCACACCCAGCGCGTCACCGCCATGCGGCGTTCCTTGAATACCCGGGGTCGCATATAAACTGGCCACAGGCCGACTACCTCACCATTCCATTCCCCACGACTCCCACTTACGCCTGACGCCGACGACCAACAACGAATCGATGTCCACCCTAACCTTCCCCCTGACGCCCTTTGAGAACAAGGCGCGCATTCACGCGCACGTCGCATTCTTCGCCTACCTCGTCGGACTCCCGCTGGGCATAGGCATCGCGCGGTATCTGAGGACATTCACTAGCGCGTGAGTCGAGTGGAATCGAGCGCCGCAGGCTGTCCGAGCGAGCGGCGAGCGGCAACTATGACCGCGCCGCAGGCATTCTTCCCCTGCGAGCTTATGGCGAGCAGCAATTATGGCTGCGAATGCGGCATTCTTCTGCGCCTGCGGCCAGCTCCTCTCACGGCGAGCAGCAATTGTGGCCACGCCGCACGCATACCTTTCCTCCTCGTTTCGTCCTATTCCGCTCGACTCCGGAACTCATGCGCGGTTTTCACAGCTGGTTCTGGCCCCACGCAATCGTCAACTTCCTCCTCACCGGCCCGCTCATCTTCGCCGCCTTTGCGCTGGGGTACCAGACGACGACAGCGAGTGGGCTGCCGCATTTCACTGATCCGCATCAGGTATGCCAGCGCTATCTTTCTACCTCCGCCCTTTCTTTTCTCGTGTGATTCTCATTTACTCTCCTTTTTTGTTTTTGGTGCCATAGAAAGTCGGCCTAGCCCTCCTCGTCCTCTACCTCATCCAGGTCTTCCTCGGCTCCTTCATCCACCTCGTCAAGTTCCCCCGCTTCCCCGGCGGACGGCCTTTGCAAAACTACATCCATGCTGTGCTTGGGCTTGCGATCGTGGGATTGGCGATGTGGCAGGTGCGCCTATTTTCCTTGCTTTATCCTCCTTCGCTCCTTTTTAAAAATTGATCATTTGCGCAGACACACTACGGCCTCTGGACCGAATGGGCGCTCGTCACGGGCAACGCGCACCCCGTGAACATGCGCTGCAGGCATTTTTGGTTGGCGATCGTGGTGGTGCGTTCCGTTTTCTTCCTCCTTTCTCTTTCTTTATCCGTTTATACCCCTCCCATTCTTTATCAAATCCCCCTCCTTTCTTTTTCTCTTTCGTTACCTCTCCCAGGAAATCGCACTCAATCCGAGGCACCAGATCGTCGCCTCCCTCTACGCCCTCGGTCTGCTCCTCCTCCCGCGCCAGTTCCGGCAGGAGGCCAACGCAAGGAGGACGAAGAACGCCGATGTCGGGCAGAAGAATTCGCCGGAGCCGCTGATTTAAACAAACCACGCTGCCTCAGGAGTTGCCGAATAATACTAGTAGAATATTGAAGGACGAGGAAGAACTTGTATATTACTGTTGTTCACGCTTTGCCATGAAGAATTTGTAAATGTTAATGCTGATACTCGCACTCACGTATGGCGGAGCCTGAGGAAGGTTGAATCCGGCGCGAGAATCTCGCCAACCTCTCACGGATACCTGGGAATTCAACCTGATCGCAAAAAGGAAAAAAAAAAAGAAAGAAAGACAGAAATTGAGGTCTGTGATGACCCGGGTTCGATTCGAATTGCGGAACACAGGTGCGAAATGTGATTAACTGCAGGTGCGGAACATCCGCTAGCAGGCCATATTCTCGTACTTATGCACTCATTATCAGTGAGAGGAATTTGCGCGCAAACTCACCGATTGATGAAAACAAAACGGAATTGAAGAACTGTGGGATGGCGCGGGCTCGATTTGACACGACATGGTCATATTCTGGTATCTACATCCTGTAGTATCAGTGCCAGCCAAAACTGAAACCAACTGAGTGGAAAATAAATGATCTCGGCAGCTTAGGCTTATATGGCCCAGGCTCGATTCGAACGGGCGTCTCCAGTAGAAATTCAGGTGCCTCCAATGTATCGAATGCTAGCGCGGACCATCCGCTGCTAGGGAAAAATCGGTCATTCCGAGGGCTTTATTTCGCCGGAAACGGCCTCAGATTGCCGAGGGTTTCGCCGCTTGGCGGGTTCGGTTTTAATCGGTCTCCCGACCAATTTGCCAACACCCATGGAATGGAGGGGTTGCCGTGTTCGTCAGATGCACTTTAAACGTGCCATTCCAAACCAAATACGTGTAAATATATGTTTCAGTCTGCTGCATCATGGATCTATGATCCTTGTGAAGACAAAGTTCAATCAGCTCGTTTGCGTAAATACAAACTTTGAAACTGTGAAGTCCGGCGGACAGCAGCTGGTTGTAGGAAAATTTTGCCGTGCAATTCTGTGGGTGGCGCAGTCGAAAAAAATACCACCAAAATCATTGTGCTACATTTGAGCGATACAGCAGAGACTCTCTTGTCGAAAGTGAAAGTGGATGTTGTGTGCCCACACGGGTGGCTCCGCTATTTTGTCCGTGTAAGACGATCCGTAGCCAGGAACTTTGGCCAATGATTCGTTAAAACTTGAACACAAGCCTTTGTCCGTAAAATTGCCACCGCTAGGACCAGTGCCGTCGGGTTCCAGCCTCGAAACCATTTGATCAAGTAGTCATGTGATTTTTCCGGCGCCATTTTCTTATTCCTCGTTCATCCCATACACACCGAAATAACGCGTAAAGAAATAGGGTGACACGTCCAATCGTTATGGCAGTGAAATCGACTCATTGGGCATGAGCCCTAAGCCTTGTTTGCACGTTTTCTGATGAAATGGAAACCATTTGCAGGAGATTCCCCGTGAATTTCGAGTCCGCGCCATCTTCGTCACTTCGTTACTTCGCTTAGCGTTGCGAATTCATGATCTTGATGGAAAGCTGGGAAAGTTCGTGAGTTGCGCTGGACTTCGGTGAACTGTGCTGTGACCAAGCTCACATGGGAGTGACCGTGCACGTGGATTAACTCTTGTGTCAGAGTCTACTTGATTCACTCGACCTGTGCTCGTCCCCGGCTCGAAAATATCAACCAAAATTCAACCGACACTTCTGATGATTTAATATGAGGAAATTACTGCCGACACGATACAATGCTGAAGGAGAGATTGTATTTGACTTGTGTTGAAAGAATGTCTGGAATTGATTCCAAAGCTGAGAGCCTCCTAAAATTCATCTACTATCAAGGAGCGGCAGAACTTACCTCCCCTCGACCTCGATTGATGCACATCTGGTCCCAGAGTAAATGTCTGTTATATAGATCGACGGTGGAGACATAGTCATTCGAGTTGCATTGTTGAGTAATTGATCTGCTCTGAACGATTCCTGGATAAAGTGTTGGTCCTGGCAATGAATTGTAGATGTGGCAGTTGAAGAAACTATATTTGAACCATTGACAGGAGAGATAGATATTTTGAACAACTCTCGAGTTACTTTCCGCACTCGTGGTCGGAGCATTTAACTTGCTTGAGTCAGCCTGAGGTTGAAATATTGCAATTCGACTGTTAGGGTACATTATTGCTATCACAAGTCTAAAATTTTTTTGGCGGCCAAGCATGGCAGTTGATCTTGTGGAATTTTGGGTTTAACATCCCGGGGAACGCAGGACTCAGGTCACTAAAACAATCACGTCAATCACAGAATTTCGTCAAAAGGAGGCACATTGACCATGAGACTCGACGGTACTCTGGCTCCGATGATACTGTGGTCGCAAAACTATGTTTGTCAAAGCACAGAACAGTATCTGCTGATGTCGAGTGGGTGTTCAAGCAGAGTTTACTCCGGAGTTGAACCGTGGGAGCGAACCGGCTGGAATAGCATGGGTGACGAGCGTTTAATTCCACGGACAGGAGCGATGACTAAATTGCAGGCAGCGAGGTAGAAATCAAAGGGATAGAACGGCTCAAAAAATCAAGTGGAATGGGGGAGAAGTGGAAATGGCCACGAAACCGTGAAATAGCGTGATCGACCTTCAATGTGTGGCTCAATTCGGCGGTCGTGACACGCTACTGAGGAGCCGCTGCCCCCGTAAGTCGCCGAGATGTCCGATCCACAGTCTAAATACCGGCAGTTTGCCCAACTGCTTGACTGTACCGTGTGTTTGAATTGATTTAAATATACTGCAGGTATCTAAAGAACTAAAGAGTC